GGTTGGGCAACACTGTGCTGTCAGTAAAGGTATAACAGAACTGAACTGATCCAAACTGAATTGAGTGAGATAGAGTGAGCAGGAGAGACAGAGAAAGAGAGAGAGAGAGAGACAGAGAGAGACAAGAGACACGGGGGGAACAGAGACAATGCTAATCAGCTTAGACCAAATGCTAATCAGCCTGCCTGCTGGCAAAACCATCTGATATGTTATAAAAATTTAATCATTTATCAGTACCACTACACCAAGATTTTCAAGTAAGACACTTGCATGAAAATACCAAGCATGCTTTGTACATCTTGTGTAAAATCCACATTGATTTCACGAACAGCCTTGACAGCTATCATTGACAAAGCAATTTTCTCCAGCGGCATTCATTTGATTTATTGGAGTAGGTTCACAGAGCTTCAAACACACAAGGGTAATTACCTGACTTGTGCAGAGATGGGACTTTCAGAATGGGAACACTGTATCTATAGATAGAGGAATTGAGGGGAATACATTCCATACATGTAGGAAAACTTGAAATGGTAAATGGACTTCATTTATATAGCACTTTTTCTACTCATTTGAGTACTCAAAGCACTTTACAGGTTCCTCACATCTATCTACCAGTGGCAGAGGCTGCAAGGTACTAACTGGCCACTGAGAGCAGTTTGGGGTTCAATGTCGTGCTCAAGGACACTTCAACATTGTGCCAAGAGGAGCCAGATTTGAACCAGAGACCTTCCAATCCCTAGTCAACTGCTCTACCTCCTGAGCCGCTGTCACCCCTGTTGCATATAAAGCTGGAGTTGAGCCGCCTCATCTGATCTGGCGCATACATGACTCACACCTCTCCAGGAGAATGACAGCCACATAATCACCGAGGCCAGGGCCTGCAGCACGGCAGCCCCAGCGTTCTGCAGGAGAGCTGAAACGCAATGACTAACCACAACAGAGACCCGCACGGCGTGCGACCCCCTGCACTCTAACGATGCGCCTGGGCGGCGGCCATTGTGCAGTCACCGCCGCAGGGCAGTGAGCCCATGAGCCAGCGAGATCAGATGGAGCAGCTTGACTCCAGCTTTGTATGCAATATTTCAAGTTTTCCTTGTTGTATGGAATGTGTTCCCTTCTACAAATGAAGCGTTACTGTTCTGAAAGTAAGTTCTATTTCTGCGCAAGTCAGGCATGATTAGCATTAGGTATTTGAAGCTGTGTGAGCCTAATGCATTAAATCAAATGAACACTGCTGGACAAAACAGTTTTGTCGATGATTGCTGTCAAGTCCGTTTCACGAAATCAATGCAGATTTACACATGAGACCTACAAAGCATGCTTGGTTATTTTCGTGCAAGTGTCTCATTTGAAAATGTTGGTGTTGTGGCGCTGATAAACAATTTTCTGTTTTTTATGACATATCAGATGGTTTTGCCAGCAGGCAGGCTGATTATCATTTGGTCTAAGCTGACTATCATTGTTGGGCTCAGGTGCCAGGCTCACCTGTATCTCTCCTCCTGCAGCGTCTGCGTGATGAAGCCATAGTCCCGCTTGAACTGGGCCTTCAGGCCCTCCATGTCCTCGGCAAGCTGTGTCTGGGCCTGGCGGATCTCGCGGGCCTCCTGCAGCAGCGTGGCCAGCTTGCCCCGGGCATCCTCAGAGCCACCGGCGGACCGGTTGCCGTTGCTGTCGGCTGAGGCCGATGTGCCTGTGGAGCACTCGTCGTCACTGGGGTACTTGGGCTTGGCCACAATGGTGGCGCTGCCACTGAGGGCGCGGGCGCCACCCTCCTGGTGGAAGGGCGACGGCGCCTCCATTGAGCTCTTGAGGTGCGCAATGTTGTCGGCGCTGCCGAACTTGTTGCGGATGAGGTTGGCGAACTCGCGGGACTTGTTGAAGAAGAAGGGTGGCGAGAGTGAGACACCAGGCCCGATGGTCTTCACCTTGTCCAGGCACGGGTGCCGGCCGCTCCCGCTCACGTCCTTCAAGCCATCCTTCAAGCCGTCTTTCAAGCCATCTTTCAAGCTGTCCTTGAAGCCATCTTTGGCACTGTCCTTTGGGCCATCCTTAGCGCCCTCCTTGGGGCCGTCCTTGGGGGGCTCCTTGGTCTCACGAGAGGCGCCATTGCTCTCGCAGTCCCTCATCCTCTTGTGGTAGTGCTCCAGCTTCTTCTGCAGGTATGCGATGCTCTGCGCAGACTTCTGGTTCTTCTTCTCAAACACCTGCTTGATGCGCGCCACCTGCTGCTTGTCGGCGCTGTCCACCAGCGCCAGATACTCGGCCACGTTCTCGTCGCGTGCGGTCTGCTCGATCTTGATCTGCTCCGTCACCTTCAGGATCTTCTGCTGCAGGCTGTCGATGCCCAGCCGGCCCCGGTTGAAGTCCAGGCCCAGGCCTGAGCCCAAGGCGGAGCCAGCCGACGACTCCAGGTCCAGGCTGGTCTCTGAGCCGCCCCGCCGGATCAGGACCGGGATGCTGAGGACGTTCCCGTCGCCGTTCCGGTCCACCTGTTGAAGGGACAGGAGAAGAAAAAAACGCACAGTCAAGCTTTACAACCACTATTATGGGTATATGAATGCACAGCAAGACATATCCATGCAGTTGGAATGGTCAGCACTCTGAGAGCCCCACTGTGGACCACGCAACAAAGCACGGTCGACAACATGCGAATGACAAAACAGAGTTAGGCAACCACACAGGGTATACAGAAAGGAATTCACTGCTACAACCCAGACAGAAGTGGCCCAGATTTAAATCACACACTGACGCTGCAGACTTTCTGAGGACCCACAGAAAACTTTCCTTATTAGTTCACACCCCAAGTGGGGGAATGGAGCTTCGAACAAAGGGCCATGTTCATTGAATTTATCTGGTTGCCCCAGTTATGGATATATGCTGTCAAGAGCAATAATGTGCTGCCTCTTCACAAAAGCTTTCAGTGTTCTGTTCCCCCATTCAGAATTTCCAGTTCATGTTAAGTCCATGAACAATTTAATTTATTATGCCTGCAAGGTGGGTTTTGTAAGAAAAGCATATCAGAGGATGGTTACACAAATGACCTTCTAACCTGAAACTTTTTCAAGGTAACCAAAATGCATTGTGTCAGCCCGGATCTATTAATAAAGTTTGCCTACGTTCATGGATATCTGAGTAAGTTACCACTCTTTCGCCTTCATTTTAAAAGTGTTTCCATGACAACAAGGGCATTCACAAGTACTCTTGGTGATCTGAAGAGCACGCTAAAGATGTACAAACATAAATAGATGAAAGACACAGGTGACCCTGCTGTCCCTGACAAGCAAAAAAATAGGGATGAGACCTGACCCTGTGACCTGTGAGACCTGACACCCCGCTTGTGGTGAGTTTGAGCTCAGACTTGCAGCCCTGCGGACTTTGACCTGTGAACCTTCAAACACAACAGCCAGCCCTAGAGCCCTTTCTACAAAAGAGTACCAGTTGTAATGAGCCTGCTAATCGTAATAGACCCATGGCCTTCAAAATGAGACAAAAAAGCACTCAGAGATCATAACTCTGGATTGGAAGAGGGGAGGCAATCTAACAACATTAGGCTGGAGGGCAGTTCCTGGTTTGCATCTCTCCCTGACAGCACAGCAGATAAGGGCAGGCCAAGACTGTCCTGGCAGCCCCACGGGTCGAGGGCCTGGCATCGGTTAAACGGGTGGAGTTCTGCTGTGGGGGATAGATGTCACCGCCCCCAGACATACACCCCAGCCAGGGAGTGACGGACCCAGCTTTTACTCAACACACAGTACACACCGCTTTCTGAGTCACAACTGAGTCCCAGGAAAAAGGGAGGGAAAACTGAAGACGAAACACGACATAAAACAATTCACGTGAATGAGTGAACTGAAATACCTGAACAACTCTCCCAATCTGCAGACTCAGACAGGAGTGCTGACTGCAGTGACCCCACCGAAATGAATTAAAAACTGCTGGTGCTCTACTGAATGGAGATTGTGAATGAGCTGAATCTCTTTACAGGCTGCATTTTGAAGTGTCAAGAGAGATGAGTGACAGAGACGGTGGGTGGGGTGGGGTTTTGGGAGAGAGCGAGGGTGCTGGCTCAATGAACTGAATAAAAGAAACAGCTCAATGAACTGAATAAAAGAAAAGATGGGGGCTGACAGAGGGGCCACACCCACCATCCCACTGCATGGGGAACACAGTGATCTCTGGGTGATCCTGTCAGATCCAAATTACTCAGCATCTCTCACGGTGTGTGTGTATGTATGTGCGTGCATGTGTGCATACGCCCGCATGTGTGTATACCATGTTTAGAATTTGTGGCATTGCTTCTGTATTCAACAAAAGAGAAGATGTTTTTTTAATGCATTTTTAATGTTTTTTAATGATTTAATGCATTAGATGTTTTTTAACATTCTTACTCTGTCACAGGAACAAACAAAGTGAGTCAAAATACAGCAGACCTTTAATGCTACAAAAAAAGTCCCACAAAAGCCACTCAATCTGGTGACTGTGTTCTCACAACAGAAAAATGTTCCCAGGAACATTGTGAACGTTCCTGAAATGGTCACGTAATGACCACAGAGATCACACAGATCCAGCTCTGCTTGTACTCTGCATGGCCTGGCGTCAAAGAACACCGCACTTTCATATGAAAAGAAGATCCTTACATTGCATGTCTGTTTACATTACATTACAGTGGCATAGTTGACATATCCAGCTCCACATATATAGCTTACAATTTTTACGTCATTCATTTATACAGCTGGTTACTTGCTCAGACAGTCTGGGTTAAGAACCTTGCTCAGGGATATAACAGCAGCGCCCAACTGGGCGATCAAAACAGCAGCCTTTGGGTTATGAGCCCCATTTCTTACTGCCACATCACACCGCTGGCCCAGCTGCCACTACTGTTCATCGCATCTGGAAGGTGGCTCTTGACCTCTCAGGGCTGGAGAGGAAACCAGCAAAGAGCTCCCTTCCTCTCTCCCCACTACACAGAAACCAATCAATGCTTGGGAGAATGCTAGGGTGGCATTGTAGCATAGTGGTTAAGGCGCAGGACTCATAACCGAAAGGTTACCGGTTCAATACCTGCTGGGGACACTGCTGCTGTACCCTTGGGCAAGGTACTTAACCCACAATTGCCTTGTAAATTGTAAATATCCAGCTGTATAAATGGATAACATTGTAAGAAACGGTAACCTATGGATTAAAAGCGTCTGCCAAATGAATAAATATAAATGGGAGATCTCCAAACTGAGCACAGAACCTTTGAGTTGGCAGAGTGAATATTTATGAGTAGAAAAGGAGCTGAGACTTTAAAGGTAAGGGTCTTCAGTCTGCCACCCGCTCACCTGATGCCAGGAGCAAGGAAGTGCATACGTGTTCCAATTAAAATTCTGTAGCTACTTTCATTGTTTTCTCTTTCTTTGTTCTGTTGTCTTCTTGCATCGGCGCCACCTCCCGTGATTTATATGCGGGGGATGTATTCGTGCTGGTTTGCAAAGGAGCCTGGAACAACGCCCACTGTCTGGAAGGGTCAGTCCCCGAAGACAATGCAAGAGCTGAAACCATACGGACAAACTCCGCTGTCCCACCGGAATGGTTGCAAATCAGTACCTATCAGTGGGGAAATGGCATTGTGCTTTTATGACTGTGGTCTCATCAGAAGCAGTTTTCTGAACTATTTGAATCATCAGTCTTATCTTTGTTAAAAGCACACTGAGTACAGATCTTTTATTAATGTAGTTACTGATTGTTTTTAACCTATAGGCTGAATAAAGACAGCAGGTTAACCGCTGTTAAACATGGTTGTTGTGAGACGCTATACTGTGTGGACCGTGCAATGGAAAGTGTGTAAACTCACTGTTTTGTGCTTCAATGGTTTTGATTCAGCACCTGTCTGCTTCTGACGAGACTGTGGTCATCAGAGTCCAACACCATTTCACTGATGAAGGCAATCTGCTGAACTATTTGTATCCTCAGTCTTTTCTTTGCTAAAAGCTCACTGAGTGCAGACCTTTTACAGATGTATTTTTTAGATTTTGTTGCGAGATGTAGATGTAGTTTTTCAACACATTTTTAACCTATAGGCTGAAATAAGACAGCGGTTAACCACTGTTAAACATGGTCCCGTTGATACACTTTGCTATGTGAACCATGCAATGGGAAGTGTAAACACCTCCCATATCCCAGACTAGCCGTGTATGGAAACATTACAGGGAGGGTGTCATTGTGAAGATGTAATGTGTGTCTGACCGCAATGTGCACTGTTGGCAAACATAAGTCACGTGATGCGGACAGAACAGATGACGATATGCTCCTCCGATCAGCCCGCTTCTTTTCACAGGAAATTCTGTGTTGAGGGTGGACCATGGGCATTGTCACTCCTGATTGGCTGATCATGAAATGCGGCATAAGCTGCTGACTCACTTCTCTGCTTAGTGGTCAGCTCTGGGTGACTTGCCTGTTGCCTAGGCAAAGATTCCAATGTTGGTCAATTCCTCTACAGGGATTTAATGATAGAAAAGTCTGTTTTTTTAAATGAATGAATGAATGAATGAAGCCTTTTGTTTTAGGCACCAGCTGCTGTTATTTAATGCTGTCTGACGTCACACAGTAGTTAGCTAAGAGAATGATCCAGCTAAGTAAATAACTCTTCACGTAACTATTATGTAACTTGTTCTCTCTAAATGTTCTTGATTGAAAGCTGCCTTGAGTTTATGTAACATAACATGTAAAATGTCTCTAAAATATCTAAACCCTTCTAATGAATTGTTTCGACTGTTCTGGAGGCAGCCAGAGGTCCTCCATTCAAGGAGAGAATTGACACAATACATCTTCACAATCTGTTAGAAAAGTTAAGTGTGTTAATGATGTCACAGCAACACACTGTCTATGAACTGCAACTGGATGGAAGAAAGATGCCCTTTCTCACTGCCTCATACTACCAGCAATCATTTCTGTAAAATCTGTGAACAATCTTTTTGTTGGTCTTAAAAGATATTTCTAACTATTCTCAACTAATGACACTGTGGACATGTACATGCCAATGTTTCTTCCCCACACCTATTTATGAGACTAGTGGAAATTGAGGGTAACTGCAGGAATTTAGGCGCAATATACATTTATCTTCATATTTTGTGAAGATATGAGGTCCCAACTCCCTGCTTCTATAACTGCACTGGCCTGAACTCCATCCTCTTCTCCTTATTCTGTCTGAGCTCATTCAGAGGCGTGAGGTGGGCTGAAAACTGCAAACCTGAATTGTAGTCATGCCATGACAGCTCTGCCACTTTCAGCTGTCTCATGATGGTCACTGCTTCGCGGTGACACCTTCTTCGGCCCCATTTCAGATGACGCACAATGTAGCGTACCCCTAACCCAGAACAAGCCGCTGACACAGAAGCAAAGGTCTGTGCCTTCTGCATAGGGCTGCTACCTTTGATTTGTGAAAAACCAGGACACTCGGACGATTTTTTTTGGGGGGGGTTAAACCATATACTATTTTAACAGTTGTAGGACTCCTTATTGCCTCTATTACCTATATTTGTCCTGATGCAGACGCACTCCCTGATGCAGTTGCACTCACTCTGGACTCCTTTGTCTGCTGCTGTCCCTTTCTGCATTAGAAACAGATTTTTCACTTTAACATATACTGTCTAATTATAATCTATTACAAAATCTAATCATATGTCTGAAGGTATACTCCCTTTAGCAATGAAAGCATGATTAGATGTATTATAATTGATTATAAACAACTTTTTAACTTAATGAATTTGGGCAACCTAACACTGACATTTCACACCTCTTTTTCTATGTGTATTTCTCTTCCCTTTTTGCTGCCTGCAGAAGTCCCTGCTGTCCCTCAATGAATGCTTTAAACTCCAAGCATGATAATTTAAGATTCAGAAAAGTTTTCTCTTTTCGCCCAGTCTGAGTTGTACATTGTAAATCGTTTTTTCTTTGACGCTGGTGGCTCGTCTGGACACAGGATTGGATGTATAAACATAACCAGGAAGAAAACAGAATAGCAGTAGAAGGAAACCAAATGAGGTTTTATTTGAAACTATGAAATTCTTAATTAGAAGTACATTTTCACAAAAAACCAGGACAATTCGTGTCCCGGGAAAGAATATTAATTTTCCGGGACAGTCGCTCAAAAAAGAGGACAATCCCAGGAAAACCAGGACGGGTGGTAACCCTACGTCTTCACAAAATGTTCTGTCCAAATTCTCGGCCCAAAAGGGAACAGCCATTGTGCATGGTTCTGTGACATTAGGAGTCCCAACGCGCATGGTCCAACATAGTGGTTTGTCCACAACTTCACTGAAAGCCAATCCCCACCAGCTCTCAGCATGTGGCCATTACTCAACCACAGTCATTCTGCTTGCATCTGACAAATGCTCTTATCCAGAGCAACTTACATAACTTACAATTCTTACATGCTATCCATTTACACAGATATTTACTTGGGCAGCCAGGGTTAAGAACCTTGCCCAAGGGTACAACAGCAGTAACCCAGTGGGGAATTGAACCTACAACCTGTGGGCTACCAGACCTAAATTTATGTCACAGCAAATCTTCATTTTCTTCACTTATTCATTTTCAACAGCTGCTTTTCGTACAGACGCCCTGACAAGCTCTGCTCCTTACCATGACCTTACACTGTATCCCTGGGTTCAGTAATGACGGACTTGTGCTCTGGTAAGGGAGAAGCTGCTAAGCTGTGTGTGAGAAGTCAACCTAGGCTGGGCGGTCGTGTACAGTAGCAGGGCCCCACGGTGGCAGTGGGAGAAGTGTGGCAAACATCACTGACTGCCACAGAATCAAACTATTTTTCTTGTTTCCCCAAATTGCAGTGAGTATTGCCCTTTAGTGCAGAATGCCTATCAGGCCTATATGGGCTTAGTCAATATTAGTTCTTACATTCTGGCAAAATTTGGGGAAGATGCATTTTTTAATGGAAAGTATAGCTATTCCTTGAGCAACAGGCCATTTCTACATAAAGGAGCTTCTCAGTCCTCTTGGCCTGTTCTAATACTCCTACCAGACAGTACTCCCTGTACCCATTTCTTACACTTTCTTTTTATGTACTACATGTTCTGGCATTGCTACATTGCATTAACATGTCAGGTAAAGATCCCCCTACATGAAGAAGTATATTATCAATCACACAGCATTGGTGGATTTCCCAATTCTCTGGGAAATTCTCTGATTCAGTCTTTCTGAGACACACAGTGACAGCAGACACAGAAAATCGGTCATGTGATGGTATGGTTCTCCACAGACTCTCTCTGCATGGCCCTTGAGCAGGGTTGTGATTTAACAGTTCCCGTACTCTTCAAATGTCATTGCACAGGCTACCTCAGACACTGGACTCTTCACTGGACCAAACACCGACCCCATATTTTAGACAGAAGCTCAGTGCATGAGGAGTACTGGTACACACTGAGATCAGTGGGCCAGGAGTATCAGTGTGCATTAAGCAAAGTGTGTCAGGATAATCAGTGTGCACTGAGATCAGTGTATCAGCAGAATCAGTGTGCACTGAGCTGTTGTTGTATTGAAACTCATTTTGAATTTTTATCATGTAGTCATTTTCTACACAATTCAGATTCCACAGCTTTTTTATTGAAGCCGCAACTATAGGTAACCTCTCCATTTAAACCATTCATCTGAAGTAATGATTCATTCCAGCCACAACAGTCCTGATTTCAAAGGTTGCCTTAAAAGCTGGCCCTAACATTGCCATGTGGAAACAGCACTCTCTGACACTGAAGCGGGCAGGATCTGAGAGCAGCAACCCTCTCGTCATCCGTCCAACCTGCCCCAGCAGCTGAGGGGCAGACGGGGCCAAGATCATTACTGGACTCAATCAGGGAGTGAGCTCCAGTAGCGCTCGGCCAACTCACACGGGGTTAATCCACACCCTCACACATCTGGGCCAGAGGCCATCACTGCAGGGCTCAGACAGCACAGAGTCTCAGACATGGAGATTAGCAGGGCAGAGAAAGCATGAGAGTGTGCTTTACGTATGTACATCTGTATGTATTTATTTTTTAGAAGCTTAATCGTTTAGGGTGACATTTATACTTGGTTTT